GACTCCTATGTTGTCGACTGCAGTTCGAGTCCCGGACCCGGTGGCTTAAACTCACGTCGGGTGTGTGTGCGTGCGTGCCCAAGATCCCGAGAGGAGAATGGAGGAGAAGGGATTGTAGCATGGCCATCCCCCCGGGGGTGATTTCTCGCTTTCTGTTTCTCTGTCTCTGTCTTTCTGGCGAGCGCATGCACCTTATAGCAAAAACCTCTCTCTCAAAAAAAAAAAAAGAAAAAGAAAAAGAAAAAAAAGAACTTTATAAATCTCTGAGGGAGAAAAGTAGATATATTACCAAATGACTGAAGGCTCTAGAATATAGGTTTCAAGAGGATAGAGTCTCAAGTTATCCACTCCCATGTTCTCACCCTTAGAACAGTGCCTGGCAGAGTGGGGATCCAGAAATAGTTGTTGAATGAACAAACAAAAAGACTGAGCAGTTACACTTAGCCAGGTATACCAACATGTATGTTTTATACATATTTTAAAATAAGCTTGAATTGTGAGTAGTTGATTTTAAGTTTGTTTAGTTATTTTAAGCCAATGGTAAATGACTGTGACAGAGAGAACCTTGAAAGTGTTCATCATCCTCAAAGTTGGTTTGGAGAACCACGGAGCAAAAGTTTTGATTCCAAATATTCAGTAAATGGAGTAGTTTGGCAACTCTTAGATTTATAACTGGTTTATGTTTCATCCATCTTCCCTATCTGTGTGACCTCCGCAAATGATTTAACCTCTGTATCTGTTTTCCTATTTATAAAGTGCAGTAATAGTAGATCCTAGCTGATAGGATTATTGCAAGGATTAAATCAGTTATTGTGTGTAAAGCACTTGCCCCAATGACACGCATGTAGGGAACTTTAGATGTGTGGCTTGTCATCATCAGAAGTTATTCTCTGTGTGAGGTAACCTCTGTTATCACCCTCACATCCAAGTGATAACCAGAATTTTAAAATGAATTAAGAACTTGTCTTTCTGTGAACATATATTTAGATTTTGTTTATTTCTACAAAAGCTTTAATAAGATATCATTCATATGCTATAAATTTACCCTTTTGAGAGCTAGCACATGGTGTGATGGTTAAGGCACTGGACTCCCACACGGTTGACCATAATTCAAGTCCCAGACTCAGCTACTCAAAATGGTGTGTGTGTACGCAACATCCCATAAGGAAAATGGAAGAGAAGGGATTGCAGCATGGTCATTGCCCTGAGGGGATGATTTCTCACTTTCCCTCTCATTGTCTCTTTCTGGCAGGTGCACACGGCCTGTGGAAAAAAAAAAACCTTTAAAAAAAAATCACAATTCTGGGTTCTGTTTCTCTGTCTCTGTCTTTCTGGCGAGCGCATGCACCTTATAGCAAAAACCTCTCTCTCAAAAAAAAAAAAAGAAAAAGAAAAAGAAAAAAAAGAACTTTATAAATCTCTGAGGGAGAAAAGTAGATATATTACCAAATGACTGAAGGCTCTAGAATATAGGTTTCAAGAGGATAGAGTCTCAAGTTATCCACTCCCATGTTCTCACCCTTAGAACAGTGCCTGGCAGAGTGGGGATCCAGAAATAGTTGTTGAATGAACAAACAAAAAGACTGAGCAGTTACACTTAGCCAGGTATACCAACATGTATGTTTTATACATATTTTAAAATAAGCTTGAATTGTGAGTAGTTGATTTTAAGTTTGTTTAGTTATTTTAAGCCAATGGTAAATGACTGTGACAGAGAGAACCTTGAAAGTGTTCATCATCCTCAAAGTTGGTTTGGAGAACCACGGAGCAAAAGTTTTGATTCCAAATATTCAGTAAATGGAGTAGTTTGGCAACTCTTAGATTTATAACTGGTTTATGTTTCATCCATCTTCCCTATCTGTGTGACCTCCGCAAATGATTTAACCTCTGTATCTGTTTTCCTATTTATAAAGTGCAGTAATAGTAGATCCTAGCTGATAGGATTATTGCAAGGATTAAATCAGTTATTGTGTGTAAAGCACTTGCCCCAATGACACGCATGTAGGGAACTTTAGATGTGTGGCTTGTCATCATCAGAAGTTATTCTCTGTGTGAGGTAACCTCTGTTATCACCCTCACATCCAAGTGATAACCAGAATTTTAAAATGAATTAAGAACTTGTCTTTCTGTGAACATATATTTAGATTTTGTTTATTTCTACAAAAGCTTTAATAAGATATCATTCATATGCTATAAATTTACCCTTTTGAGAGCTAGCACATGGTGTGATGGTTAAGGCACTGGACTCCCACACGGTTGACCATAATTCAAGTCCCAGACTCAGCTACTCAAAATGGTGTGTGTGTACGCAACATCCCATAAGGAAAATGGAAGAGAAGGGATTGCAGCATGGTCATTGCCCTGAGGGGATGATTTCTCACTTTCCCTCTCATTGTCTCTTTCTGGCAGGTGCACACGGCCTGTGGAAAAAAAAAAACCTTTAAAAAAAAATCACAATTCTGGGAGCTGGAAAGTTAGAAGGCATAAACCTGTCATTAGGCCAGCCTATAACATGGCCAATTGCTGGCAAGCTCATAGAGAGAGAGCAAAAGAGCTTCTGCCAGCTCTCTTTTATAATAACCAACTCTCATAGAAACTAACCCCTTTTGTGAAAACTCAAATCACTGGATCTCAGACACATCATTAATTTATTCATTAAACTGTTGTCTCCATAAAGTAATCACAGTGATACAACCCCTGCCCGCTAGGCCTCACCACCTTCCAACATCAAATTCCAGTACATGAAACTTTGGAGGGCAAACCATCATCCCTACCATAATAGTGCCCCAATTCATTCTTTTGAATGTGAATATATCCAGTTTTTCCAGCACTATTTGTTGAGAAGGCTGTTCTTTACCCATTAAATTTTCTTGACATTCTTGTCAAAAATCAATTGACCAGGCCAGCAGTGGAACAACACAGACAACTGTACAGTTTAACAGCAGTTAAGGCTTCTGGATCCAACATAGATGACTGTATATTTTGATCCCTAGACCAGGCAGCTTGAAAGACATGTTGGGTGTGTGTGCATGCATGCTTGCCCAGAATTCCAATAGGAGAAATGGAGAAGAGATTAAAATGTGACCATACCCTGTGGTCTGTACTTTCTTACTTCCTTGCTGTCTGTCTCTGTCTCTCTCCAATAAGCACATGCACTTCTAGCAAATAAAAAAAAAAAAAAAGAAATTTTTAAGGGATAAATCAATCATAAATGCTAAGGGCTTATTTTTGAACTTTCCATTCTGTCTCATTGGTCTTTGTCTATCCTTATGCCAGTACCCTGTCTTGATTACTGTAGTTAAGTCGTAAATTTTGAAACTGGATGTAGAAATCCTCCATCTCCTTTCTTTAATGTTATTTTAGGTATTTTGGGGTTTCTTGCATTCCCATATGAATTATAGGATCAGCCTATCATTTTCTGCAAAAAATTAGGCAGTTGGGATTGTGATAGGAATTGTATTTTCTCTCAGTGGAGGTCAAGTAAGTTTTCTGATCTGTGAACATGGGCTATGGATGTCTTCTTGTTTAGATCTTTAATTATCCTCATGTATTTTATTCTTTTCGATGCTATTATAAATGCAGTTATTTCCTTAATTTTCTTTTCAGATTGTTTATTGCCATATGTTTGTTGGTTTTCCTATTTTTTTTTCATTTTATTGTGGTAAAATGAACATATCCATTTACCTTTTTAACCCTGTTTAAATGTACAGTCCACTGGTACTAAGTCTAGTACATGCAATGTTCTATAATCATCACACAATTTGCAGAACTTTCTCACCATTTCAAACAGAAACTCAGTACCCACTAATCAAACACTCCTCATTGCCCCCGCTGCCCATCCAGCCCCTGGTAACTTCTACTCAAATTTCTGTCTCTAAATTTGTCTATTCTAGGTACTTCATGTAAGTATAATAATACTTTTGTTCTTTTGTATCTGACTTGTTTCACTTAGTGTAATGTTTCAAAGACATACCCATGTTGGGACCAGCAGTTAGCGTAATGGCTATGTCACTGGACTCCCATGTAGTCAGCCACGGTTCGAGTCCCAGACCCAGCAGCTTAAACTCAGGCCAGGCACGTGTGTGTGTGTGCCCAAGATCCCAAGAGGAGAATGGAGGCGAAGGGATTGAGGCGTGGCCATCCACCCTGGGGCGTGATTTCTGTCTTTGTCTCTCTGTCACTCTCTCTGTCTTTCTGGTGAGTGCACGGGCCCTATAGCAAAAACCTATCCCAAAAAAGAAAAAAAAAAAGACTTTCCCATGTTTTAGTATATGTCACTACTCTATTCCTTTTTATGACTGAGTAATATTCCATTGTGTGTTTGTACCATATTTTGTTTATAAGTTCACTTCATGAACTTACGATGGATACCTGAGTTGTTTTCATCTTTTGGAGATAGGTTGCTTTTACTTCTTGACTATATGAATAATGTAACTATGAACATTGTTGTACACTTATCTGTTTGATTCCTGCTTTTAGTGATTTTGGATATATACTTAGGAGTGGAATTGCTGAGTCATATGGTAATTGTGTTGAATTTATTGAAGAATTGCCAAACTGAATTCCATGGCAACTGCATTATTTTATATTTCTACCAGCAGTACCCTAGGGCTCCAGTGTTTCTATATCCTCATCATACTTATTTTCTATATTTTTTATGACAGTCATTCTAATGGATGTGAATATTTTTAAATTAAGAATTAAGCTGCATCTAACACTCTTGTTAATGGTAGAACACCTAATTCCTCAGATAGACGTATGCAAAGTATATTTCATTGAAAAGAAAATCAGAGAAATGTGAATTTTTCTCTATTCACCAATGACTTTATTTCTTTAGTATAATTGTAGTTTCCATAATTTGTTATAGTTGAAGATAAATAATTAAATGTAAAGCTGGGAGTTTTAGAAAAGGAACTTTTAAAATTTTTATAGACAGATAGATAGAGATTGTTTTAAAGTTTGACAATATACCTCTTGCTATCTTTTCTATGATGTGAAAGACAACAGAAACCACTGATAAAACTTTGCCAGAAAAGGGTGAAGAGATCTGTGGCTATTTCTTAAACCCTTCCTTAATGACGCCGGACTGTTCACCTACAAGTATGAAAAAGAAAACAGAAGACACAAGTGACCTCCCCTCTGAGAGTCAAAGAAGCATACCGCTCGCTGTGACTGACGCTTTAGAGCATATTATGGAACAGCTCAATGTTTTGACACAGGTAAGTTGGAATGCTTTGCACTTGGGGGTAAGATATACAAAACAGTCCTGATTACAGAAGGTTATACAACTGCTGGAGCAAGTGGGACCAGCAGATGGTATAATGGTTACATCACTGGACTCCCATGTAGTCCACCATGTTCACATCTGGACCCGGCAGCTTAAAACTCACACCAGGTGCATGTGCTTGCATGCCCAAAATCCCAAGAGGAGAATGGAGGAGGAGGGACTGTGGCATGGCCATCTCCCCTGGAGGGTGATTTCTCACTTTCTGTCTTTCTGTCTCTCTCTGTCTCTCTGGCCAGCGCACACACCCTATAGCAAAAATCTCTCCCTATGGGAACCAGCAGTTAGCGTAATGGCTATGCTGCTGGACTCCCACGTAGTTGAA